CCGCCTGGACCGGCTGGACCGGTCCAGTGGACCGGTCTAACACAAACCCCTTAATACACAACAACCACTCCAAAGATGAAGTTTATTGGATGGACTACTTCGAGTTATGGGGCTAAATGTCCTAAGGAGGCCTAGTTCCTCGAGCCTAGTGGCACATACAATGAATGAATTCAATGGAGTGTTAAAATTTTAAAATTAATTGATCATTAATGATTAAACATAATAAAACTCTTAATATAATTATATCAATTTGGTTTTTAGGATGGACTACTCTGATATGCGGGGCTACGTATCCTAAGAAGGTCTGATTCCTCGAGCCTGATGGCACAACGCCACGAACCAGTTGATAGCAAACTTAACTAATTTAACCCCTTAATTAATAATAAATTACTTAATTTATCTTTCTTTTTAATTTTTAACCAACTAAATTAACTCAACAAAGTTGGTTAGTACTGGATAACTCATGCCTATGAGACTATTAAGTTAGCGTCAAGGAGGGTGAAATAAACATCACGGACTTGAAGAGCAATAAAGGTAGTAATCATCAAACATTTAAAATACACTCTAAAATTAACATTAAGACATTAATATTTAAATTTTAATTAAAGATTCCCTTTTGACTTTCAACAAATCAAAACAAAAATAGAAGCTTTAACTAAATTATCTTATACATGACATATCCAAATCACACAACCTGCTACGCAAACTAGAACTTATTTGCTAGAATCACTTACTCTAGTCTTAGGTTAGGCCGATGGTGTATTTTGGTGTGGTGCGGGTACCTTGCCTGGAGGGTATTCTTGATGTGTTTATTTAAGTTTTGTACTTTAGATGTTATGTCATACATTATTACTTTTCTGTTGGTGCACATTAAGCTTTTAAAATATATATGCTTGCACCATACTCATGCATGCATCATACATGTATATTCATGTAGTCTTTTTATTACAAAAGAAAAGAAAAATAGAATGTATCTAGGACGCTTGTAAAATGAAGTAGAATGTACCTAGGTGCAAATGTATGTGCAAGGAATCCAATGTAAATGTAAGGTGTCAAGAGTTGTAAGGATTTGAAAATGTTTGCTCATACACATACATATAGGGCTCTAAAAGATAATCCTCTCTGGGGGCATTCTCTTTTGGAATCCTATAGAAGACCCGGAGCCAGAAGATGATAAGCAAACACATTCAAATTCATATTTCATAGATGTAGAAATCCAAGCATGTTGTCGTGGAGCTTGGCCACCTTACTTACTTGCAGACCCTGGGTTGTATGCATGTTCTAAAGAAATGAATAAAAGATTTTATTTATGCATTTGCTTCATTCATCATTATACATGACGTTAGAGGATTTCATTTTCATATTTTATGTATCCCTGATTTAAATCACTGAACTAAAAAATCCTTTATTCTTTAGGATAGAGTCTCTTATCTTCATACATATAGGACGATTGATTGTATTTAGGATGTAAGCTGACACCTCACTCCAGGAAAGCATAAGACCAAATTGTCCACCCCTCAGTATATCTTTTTACTTCTGAAGGATTTTGAATATGCCATTTCTCCTATTATAGCAAATTCCGTTCTTTTTCATTTTTTAAACTCCAAATTTTAATCACATCTTTATATATTTGAAAATGTCTAGTTATCACTAAGGATAAATAAAAGAGTTTATCCTCTTTGGAATAGAATCAAGGAACTTTCTCTGTGCACAAAATTAAGAAAAGAATAATGCATCATCCCTAATCGAGAGTTTTCTTAGGCCAAGACCTAAAAATGTAATTAACAACGGGGGCTTGTGCCCGTGGGAAATCGATCCCCACATTAAATAAACTTTATTCGAGCTGATGTATCAAATAGGGAAAATCTCGTGACTTTGATCGGGTCATACATATTATTATCCATCGAGGTGTGTATGTGAAAGCTGTTATCCTCCATGGCTAATCGTATGTATGACTCCATCTGCTCTTCCATCGGTCTGCTTGTATAGAGTGTAAAGGCCTACGATCGTTTTGTCTTACGGGATAGTGCAGTCGTACCCTTTGCATTCTGTTCCCCGCAAGCAGAATCCTTTCAGAGACCCACAATATGCTCACATTTATAATATGATGAGCAAAGCACAAGCATTCTAAGGAAAACTTTAACATATAGAGAACATCATTCACATAGTGATTAATTAATCAATTTTTTATAGAATTTGATACTCATAAATATTATACTTTAACTTCAAACTTTGTTATCTTGCACATGAATATAATTGATATTGATTGACTGAATAGCACAAAATTAATCAAATATTTTATACTCGAATAATCATCATACTAAAAAATATTAAATTAAAAATATAAAAATTTGATCCTGCACAAACAGCATGTTACCCTCTAGTTAAGTTGTATGTTCATTTTAGTGGATTATAGAAGGAAAGTGATGATCACAAGGATGCTAATCTAGGGAACTACAATATCCCTTTGATCATTACGCACAAGCTTTGTTGACCTATCCAGGCAACTGCTGCTTCTCTAGCAATAAACTATGGCTAGTTATGCGTACAAAAGATATTGTATATGTCATTTTGAGATCAGTTAAAAATAGCTTAGCGAATTAGGTCATGATGGGATGCAACCGGAAGCGAATCTTGCAAATCATAAAATGCAATGATCACCTTCAAGAGAACTATTTATTTTTTCTCAAACCATTTCCAAAGATTACTTGTAGCTGATGAGCGTACAGCAGTCCCAGTTCAACGTTTGTTCTCGTAAGAAAGTGCAAGAAGACAGTAGCGTGCTTAGCTTAATAATCTCATAACCAAGTGCAAAGCATATTCATCAGCCACAATCCCCATGGAAAACCAATTCTAAAGCAGGCTGCTATAATCCTAGGCAAAGGCCATTAGACAACTACAGCACATCAAACATTTTTCATAGGACAAAAGCTCTTATTTTCAAGCAATCCCATGTATGCAGAATTGCCGTGTGATGGCTGAAAATAATGTAAGAAGTTACCAACACTTCACATTCCATTTAGCAGAAGACATTCAAAATTTAAAGTAGTTGGGACAAGCACAGGAAATTATGCGAAAGAATGGAACTGTAGATTTGAATTGAATAAAAGCAGATGATTCCATATGCAATGTGTATCAAATTAAAGAGCGGGCATGCAGAACCATTTCATTAGGGTGCAAGTCATTTCCATTTAGCTTTTACCTGATTGAAGCAACAGAAAAGAGTTCATCATCCCTCTCCAAGGCCACAGTATAAAATCCTTGATAGTTCACTTGCGACATGTTTGACCTGACAATGATGCAAGGTAATAGATAGCTGCAGGTCTGAATTTTATATACAACAAATACAACTCTAGTGAAATACTAGTCAGCAGTAAAAGAACTACTTCACAAAAAGATATTAGAAAACCTCACCCCCAGTTGTATATGACTAGAGGAAGCAAATTTTTGCCAGTTCTGGGGTCCGACATGGGAAGAAAGCTTTCCTCCATAATGGACAAGGCAATAGCTAACTTTATGTTGCACTCAGCCATCAGAGCAGTCTTCAGTGCAGAGTGAACTTTTTTATCATCATGACTGCATTTCAAAATTGTCCAAGACAATCCATCATTCATGCAGTTCGTCACTCCTACAAGTGAGTGCAATCCAGTGTAGACCTATCACAATAATAAGAATGTGATAACATTGGAATGTGGAAAAAACAGTTGACTAATTTTAATCAGAATAATATCATTGTACAAAAATGAAAGAATAATATAAAGCTACCGATCATTGTCGTTTCATTTCTTAACTTGATGAATGTTGGAAAGGTTGAACAAAAGGAAAATTGATGCTGGGCCAAAATGTACAAATGGTCAAATCTTTTTGCCCAAAATATTTAGCATCCACTTGTTCATGACATATCATCTAAAATATTTGAACATCATCTCCCAACAATTTCAAATGGAATACCTTACCAAACAAATATACTCATCTTGCAATTATACTACTATAACTAATGAGATTTGATGTAGGCAAGGGGGGGGGGGGGGGGTAGGGGGATTCAAAATATTTTGGATTGTAAATCTAGAGAGCTTCTAGGTCCTCTACTAGAATCAGCTCATTAATGTCTAGTACAGAGCCTTTTAAGCTCATAAATTGAAGATTAATTAAGTTCATTCCCCCTTTCTAATGACCATTTGGTTTTATCCTCCTTATTCTTCTTCCCGTGACTGGTTTGATTTCTTTCCCCTTCTTTGTGGCTCTTCGATTTTCCATGCGTAGTTTCCTTTTCTGGTTCCCCTGGTTGCCTTTTTCGGTTCCCTTTGCCTGTTGTTCCGGTTCCCTTGGCTACTGTTCCGGTTCCCCTGGTTCCTCCCCGTTTGGCTGCTATTCCGAATTCTCTAGCTGCCTTTTCTGATTCCCCTGGCCGTCCATCCCATTTCCCTTGGCTGCCTTTTTAAGGTTTTTAGGTGGCTGTTTGGGTGTTGTTCATGGACAGCCCCTTTGGCCTTCTATTTCCCCTTTTTTAATTGAGTTAATTGAAGATGTTTTGGGCTGTCTGGTTGCACCTTTTCCCCTATATATATTAGATGTTTTGTAATAATAAAAAAGGTGTGTGTGTGTGTTATGTGCTAATTTTTGGATCAAAGCCTGAGGGTTTTTTCAGGATAGCTTGCGAGCTATGCCTTTTCTCTTCATCTTCTTCTAGGAAAGCTTGCGAGCTTGTCCTCCTTTGTCTCGGCTTCTTACCTTCTTCTTCTCTCCGCAAGTTACCACCCAATCAGTATCTTTCTTCTCGACGAATGGCAAGCTTCTTTAGGTGTCGTTTCTATGTCAGAAAGTTGTATGCGTCATTTTTATAATATTAAAGTTGTATTTTGTTTTGCTCATGTGTTGTCGCTTTGTCTTATGTAATTTTATTTAAGTTTTTGTGTCGATATATGGTTGTAAGTTTGGGAGACCTACCTTGTATTTCTTTTGCTTGTAAAAATTAGAGTTTTTCTAATTTTTTCTTGCATCAAGATTGTACCCACTACTTCAAGCGGATATCTTGTGCATTCATGTGACTGGCCAACTTTTGATGATTCATAAGATCACCTTGTCGTTAATAAAATAGTTCTAACAAGATCTGCTTACGGGATATTTGATTTGATAAAAAAGAAATACAATATAAAGTAAATATAAATGTGCTTGGTTGAGTGTACAACAAATGCTGGAGATTTTTTTTTTCCTTTTGGTTTAAGGGTAAAACAAATTCGTGTGAAGCGTCAATAGCAGTGGCGATGATGTCGACTGGCTCTAGCAGTTGGGGAAGCGGTAGTCATGGTGGCAGCGGTGGCAGTCGTGGCAGTGGTGGCAGCTGACGTCAGGTCCGTAACCAGCAGTAGGGTGGTGATCAAAGGTGGGCTATAACCAACAAGAACAAAAATTGTTCTCCAAAGTTTTGATTAACGATGAATTTGATTTTCTCTTGCACATTATCTCAATTCAACTCTCATTCTTCCCCAGCTCAATTGTTTACAATGATCTGTTCAGAACATCTGATTAATTGTTTCTGCCTAGTCATGGATATGGTAATTTCTCGTTAGCATTAGTTTTGGTGAATGTTAATGGTGATGATGTCAACTCCTGTTATTTGTTGCAAATAGGTTACTATTGTCAGTGTTTGCTTTGTTTGGACTTCAACTACATTATTTCCTTGTATTCATGTATTCATGTATTACATTGTAGCTAAGATGCCAATTTTGTTGTTAACTTTTGACTTTTTTTGTACTGTGTTTTGAATCAACTCTTAGGGCTTCTCTATTCATATCACTTTACTGTTGTAACGCAATCAGCAGCTAGGATTTTCTCTTTCATTGGACTTTCTTACCGCAACAGTGCTTGTTCTAGAATATCCCGTATCAGCACGGTAGCATGTAAACGGAGACTTGTTTTGCCCAGTTCAAATTGGAAATTACCAACATTTCCATTCATTTGTTCCAACATCGTTATGCAGTCAAACATTTTATGGTTGCAGAATACAAATACTCAGAGCTTGAGATGCTTAACAAGAATCTAACTTTGATGCATAAACATGATGTATTTCAAAAGTACTTCAATGAAAAAGAATACCTGAAGACATTTTTGTCCACAAAACCACATATTAGATCCGACTGCATCGCATCTAATCCTATCTTTAATGCACGTTTCATGATCTGCAGTAACATAGTTGTAGGACTACAATGAAAACAAGGATCTATATAAAAAATACTACACGAAAAAGCCAAAAAGATTCTCAAAGCTTCAACAGGAGACTCCCAGATAAACTCAATTAACCAATCACTTGGGTGCATTATTTATGATTTCTTTGTTTATGAGAATAATGGAGTTTATGCTGCTCAGTTACTGAAAATATTTAGAAGTGCCAGTGATTGGAGTCACATGAGTCATCAACAAATCTGCTCATCAAGAATTTCTAAGAAGTACAAACGCACATTGGCAACATTTATGACAGCTGATCTTTTGCATGATATTGGAAATTCTCGTTGTTCTTGAATAACTATGAAATGTATGCTTGCATACTCATCTTATGGCTTATCAACACAGTAGTGGAAACTAAACACATGGGTCCCTATATTGATTATTCATATCTAATAATAATATATTGCTATTATTAGATGAAAATCAAAATCAAATAGTATTCAAATTTTATAATTTTTCTACACTCATTTGAATGGCTCGTCAATAATATCATAAGAAATAAAAACTTACTTTTTTAGAAGATAAAAAACAGATAATTTTATTGTGAGATTAAATATGCAGTCATTTAGTCAAATCAACAGCAAATTATATTAAATTCTAACTAGAAAAGAAACGGTTATTTCCTCAAAAGAAATTCCAGTAAGGCACGAACAGCTTTAAACGTTTTCCATGTCCATGTTGCACACATATCAGATACGGACATTGCTCTAATATGCTCTAACATGGGTCCAACACTATAAAAAATGTGTCAAAATCATTTTAGGGTAAAATTAGGCTCCAATATTGCCCAAAAATGGGTAGCCACGACCCAGACATGCAACAACACATGCAAACAAGAGAGACGTTTGTGTAAATAAAAAAAATCATGTTTCCCACACAAGGGCAAGGGGCACATGACTATATCACACCTGCTACTATAAATTTTAAGTTTATATGGAATTTTTTTGGATGAGCATATCGTGAACTAAATTTATGTTTTAACATAAAATAGTTCTTTGTCTCATACTATACAACAACAACAACAACATCAAGCCTTTGTCCCACTACATAGGGTCGGCTACATGAATCCTTTTTGGCCATTGTGTCCGGTTAAAAGTCAAATTCTCATTTAAATCTAATAAAGAATGATCATTTTTAATATTTTCTAACCAAGTCTTTTTAGGTCTACCTCTACCTTTCTTAACATAAGTCAAATCCAATACATCAACTTTCCTGACCGGGTCATCGGAAGGCCTCTGTTTAATGTGACCAAACCATCTAAGGCGACTCTCTCTAATCTTATCTTCCCACTGGAGCTACTCCAAACCTTTTCACGTATATGCTCATTTCATATCCTATCTCTAAGGGTCAAGCCACTCATCCACCTAAGCAACCTCATCTCTGCAACACTTAGTATTATGCTTCTCTTTTAATGGCCAACATTCAGCACCATAAAGCATTGCAGGTCTCACTACCATCTTATAGAATTTTCCCTTAAGTTTGAGGGGGACTTCCTATGCGCACATAAGCCCGATGCATTCTCACTTCAACAATCCAACTTGAATTCTGCTGATATATCCCCATCAATTTCATCATCACTCTGAACAATAGATCCAAGATATCTAAAACGTGTACTCTTATTAATAACTTGATCGCCCAAAGTCACAATGATGTGGACATCAGTTCGTGGAAGGTTTATCAGAGGCGTGGCTGCCGATCTATGACCACGATCGAGTCTTTGTACTTTTGAGTTATTTATGTTATTTTCTTATTAATGTAATTTTCTATTTTCAGTTTCGTGTATTTGTTTTCCAGTTGTACCCTTTTAGTGAGAGATGTCATATGTAAGCCCGGAGGGTAATTTTGTCTTTTATTTTCATGAGTCCCATGTACTTGGCTATTTATAGCCTCATGTTTTATTTTTCAAGGTAATGAATGATTAGAATTTCATTTTCTTGCTTGGAGTTCTTGAGTGAGCTTGAGAGATCGGAGAGAGATCACTGGGAGAGGGAGATTTGCGCACCAACCACCATCCTTGGAGATGGCCGGGTTCGTGGTTCTTAACTTTGTTTGGCTTCCCCTTTGACCCCTTCTTCCATCCTTAACCGCCGGCCAAGGAGTCCCCAATCCTTGCTGCCGACAACCCACTTTCCCCTCCACCACCCACCATCCAAGTTCCCCAAGTCCTTCCCCTTTCCCCCACTAAACTCCACCTAATCCTCCACCTAGCCGACTGGCCCCATACCAGAAACCCATCAACCGCCGGCCCTAGATCCCCTCCTCTCTTGCTCTTCCTTGCCTAATTAGGAGTTGGTATAATTTAGGCAGATTTTGAATTCAAATCCAAACAATTTGAATTATTAAAATCTTTCCTAAATTATCAAAGTTATTTCAGGAAAGTTTCTAAAGTTAAATCAATTTGAATTTCAAACTCAAATAGGATTTAATTAAATACTTTTCTGATTCTCAAACTTAAATTAAGCAAGCATTAAACACCTAATTAAAAGCCTCCCTTTCCCCATCAATGCCGCCGGTCCCCCCTCTTGGATTGGGATAGGAAATATTTCCTAAAACCCAAGTCTTTATTTAGGAAATAATTCCAAATCCCATATTTTCTTCCCGGGCCGAAATCCTCATGCCCCTTGATTTGATTTTTTCTAGAAGGGAATATCCCCTTAGAGAATTAAATCAAGCCCTTCCCCATCCCCTTGCCGCCGCCCCCTCTTGCCTCCTCTCTTCCTTTGATTATTCTCAATCAAGAGAATATTTAGGAAGGAGGAAATCCGAATTCCCTCCATCTACTTGCTCCAAAACTGAAATTGGTTTCCCCTAGCTCCTCCCTTGGCCGACCACCCAACCCTCTCCCCTCCTTCTATAAATCTGAAACTTATTTCAGATTTTTTGTCTTGGCTCTCCACTCTCTCAAATTGTAAGAGAAACTTTTTTCTCTTCAACTATCTCCAAGTGCACTATCAAGTTGTGACGATTCTTGCTACCGAACACCTATGAATGGCAGATCCAGAAACTGATTATGGCCTAACCTACGACGAGGACGGCTTCATCGACATTCTTCAATCGACCTTCTTTGACGTTAACACAAGGGTCGATCACACCGTCGAAGAGTACATAGAGCATATTCTGGACACGTTGGTAGAGACAATTGACGAGTACTTTGAAGACGTTGAGAGGAGGATCTCCACCAAACCGTGACAAAGGTTCTCTTTTCCCTTTCAATATATTTCCTAAATCTAACTTTATCTTGTGCTTGATTGTAGTCACGAAGGACGATTTTTCCCTGCTTCTGCTAAGCTTAGTAAACGTAATATTTTGAGTGTGCCTTTATGCTTATTAATTCTCATTGTTAGATTAGGGATTATATTGAAACTACTATTTCGGCATAAAGTGAATTACTAATTTATTTTGAAAGTTTTCCAACTCTCTGCTTATGTGGTTTAGCCTAAGCGGGTGTGACCCCTTTCTTGTTTTATTCGTTGCTTTAAAATGCTAATGGTTTCGTCATTGCTATTCTAATCAAGAGTTGTGCAAATCCTTACAAACATTACATTCGTACTTAGTCCTGCATCACACAATCCCCTCACTAGATCTATTGCTACTAAAATTACACTTCATATATTCAGTTTTAGATCTACTCAAGTGAAAACCTTTAGACTCTAAAGTTGACCTCCATAATTCAAGTTTACCTTTAACTCCCTCTCTAGTCTTATCAACAAGAATAATATCATCTAAACTGATATTTTGTGATTTTGTACTTTGGGACATAATTTTATTGCATCTACTTTCTTATTTTCCATTATTGCTATTATTTTCCTGCTAAAATCCTTAATTTTTCATTTACGCAATTCTGTGTTCGTGAGGCTTACGCCTCAGACCGCCTCGAGGCTTACGCCTCGCCTCACGGACGAAAACCGCCTCGAGGCGCAGTTACGCAATTTTAAACCTTGACAGTATTAAAAAGTTTAGTAAGCCAAGAAATTCCTTCATCTCCTAAGCATTTTCACATCTCTATTGGAATATCTTCAGATCCAACAGCTTTTCCACACTTCATTTTCTTTAAAGCCTCTCTAACTTTGGTTTTACTTATACGCCGATAAAAACAAAAATATTTATTTTCATTTAAGGTGATAAAGTCACTAAAGTCAATCGTATTTTCAGATTCTTCATTAAAAAGTTTAGCAAAATATCTCATCCACCTTTTGTTGAATATGTCATCCAAGCAAGATAAGCACTTAATTTACAACAACCTATCTAAACAAAACTATTTTTTATGAGATAAAATAATATTGTCATGCAAAAGTGGAAGAACTGTCTTGCATTCTGTGTTCATTAAAAAGAATCTGAGTAAATTTTTTTTCACACCAAAAATGAGAATCAGCACTTCTAAGCATGGTTTAAAATTGCGCAACTAAAGGTGCGACTCAAGTGCAATTTGACCCAATAACGCGTCGAGGCGGGAGCTTAGGCATTGCTCCGTGAGGCGTACACCTCAAATCAACAAAGGCTTGCTTCGCCTCACTTCAGCGAGGCGTTTGCCTCCAAAATAAAGACATAATATATTATTTAAAACCTTGTTTCACGAATACGCCTATTTACGAGGCATGTTGTATCCAACACGTGTCGGAAACGGATACGCCTCCGATACGGCACGGATACGACTTTGTCGTGTCCAATTAAAATATTATTTAAATTTGATAGTACACGCATATATATTAAAAAAATGGAGACGCAATTTGCCCTATTCATTTCGGCTATCCGCTCGATTCCCTATTCATTTATGTGGCTTAAACATTTCGGCGAGCTAGGTTTTTCGTTTCCGCACAGGTGTTCGTCTTCTTCGTTATAGTCAAAGGAGCGGCTCGACGACGCGAGCATAGAAGCGGACAAGATCATCCTTCATCGACAAAGAGGCTCGATGACGCGAGCATTAAAGCAGACAAAATCCTTCGTTGACGGAGCG